TGTGTTCTCAATGCAGGAGCAGGTCGACCCTAAATAGTCCATGTCACTTCCTCCCTTTGGAGTCTCTGCTTCCCCACCAGCCCCCAGAAGATGGCCTAACACACAGGGAGGGGAATGAGGAAAAGGTATTCATCACAGTTCATACAGGAAGTGGTGTATCAGTGGAGAGGTCCAGGCAGAAAACAGATGGCACACTCAGGAGGGCATATATATATACACACACACATACATATATATACACACACACATATATATATATATATTTATACTTTAAGTTCTAGGGTACATGTGCACAATGTGCAGCTTTGTTACATATGTATACATGTGCCATGTTGGTTTGCTGCATCCATTAACTCATCATTTACATTAGGTATTTCTAATGCTATCCCTCCCCCATCCCCCCAGCCCACAACAGGCCCCGGTGTGTGATGTTCCCCACCATGTGTCCAAGTGTTCTCATTGTTCAATTCCCACCTATGAGTGAGAACTTGTGGTGTTTGGTTTTCTGTCCTTGTGATAGTTTCTCAGAATGATGGTTTCCAGCTTCATCCATGTCACTACAAAGGACATGAACTCATCCTTTTTTAAGGCTGCATAGTATTCCATGGTATATATGTGCCACATTTTCTTAACCCAGTCTATCATTGTGGACATTTGTGTTGGTTCCAAGTCTTTGCTATTGTGAATAGTGCCACAATAAATATATGTGTGCATGTGTCTTTATAGTAGCACAATTTATAATCCTTTGGGTATATAGCCAGTAATGGGATCATTGGGTCAAATGGTATTTCTAGTTCTAGATCCTTGAGGAATTGCCACACTGTCTTCCACAATGGTTGAGCTAGTTTACACTCCCACCAACAATGCAAAAGCATTCCTATTTCTCCACATCCTCTCTAGCACCTGTTGTTTCCTGACTTTTTAATGATCGCCATTCTAACTGGTGTGAGATGGTATCTCATTGTGGTTTTGATTTGCATTTCTCTGATGACCAGTGGTGATGAGCATTTTTTCATGTGTCTGTTGCCTGCATAAATGTCTTCTTTTGAAAAGTGTCTGTTCATATCCTTTGCCCACTTTTTGATGGAGTTGTTTGATTTTTTTTCTTGTAAATTTGTTTAAGTTCTTTGTAGATTCTCAATAATAGCCCTTTGTCAGATGGGTAGGTTACAAAAATTTTCTCCCATTCTGTAGGTTGCCTGTTCACTCTGATGGTAGTTTCTTTTGCTATGCAGAAGCTCTTTAGTTTAATTAGATCCCATTTGTCTATTTTGGTTTTTGTTGTCGTTGCTTTTGTTGTTTCAGACATGAAGTCCTTGCCCATGCCTATGCCCTGAATGGTATTGCCTAGGTTTTCTTCTAGGGTTTTTATGGTTTTAGTCTAACATTTAAGTCTTTAATCCATCTTGAATTAATTTTTGTATGAGGTGTAAGGAAGGGATCCAGTTTCAGCTTTCTACATACGGCTACCCAGTTTTCCCAGCACCATTTATTAAATAGGGAATCGTTTTCCCATTTCTTGTTTTCGTCAGGTTTGTCAAAGATCAGATGTTTGTAGATGTGCGGTGTTATTTCTGAGGCCTCTGTTCTGTTCCATTGGTCTATATTTCTGTTTTGGTACCAGTACTATGCTGTTTTGGTTACTGTAACCTTGTAGTATAGTGTGAAGTCAGGTAATGTGATGCCTCCAGCTTTGTTCTTTTTGCTTAAGATTGTCTTGGCAATGCGGGCCCTTTTTTGGTTCCATATAAACTTTAAGGTAGTTTTTTCCAATTCTGTGAAGAAAGTCATTGGTAGCTTGATAGGGATGGCATTGAATCTATAAATTATCTTGGGCAGGTGGCTCACGCCTGTAATCCCAGCACTTTGGGAGGCCGAGGCAGATGGATCACAAGGTCGGGAGATCGAGACCACAGTGAAATCCCATCTCTACTAAAAATACAAAAAATTAGCTGGGTGTGGTGGCGGGTGCCTATAGTACCAGCTACTCAGGAGGCTGAGGCAAAATGGCGTGAACCCGGGAGATGGGGCTTGCAGTGAGCTGAGATTGTGCCACTGCACTCCAGCCTGGGTGACAGAGCGAGACTCCGTCTCAAAAAAAAAAAAAAAAAAAAAAAAAAAAATTACCTTGGGCAGTATGGCCATTTTCACGATATAGATTATTCCTATCCATGAGCATGGAATGTTCTTCCATTTGTTTGTGTCCTCTTTTATTTCATTGAGCAGTGGTTTATGGTTCTCAGGACTCTTTTTTTTAAAAAAAAAAAAAAAGACTCTTTAAGGAAAAATGTATCTATTATTTACAGAGATTCAAGTAAGGACTAGCAACAGCAGGAAGTCTGAAGCAGCGTGGTTGGGGGGTGAATAATGTCACCTGACACCAAGAGATGGCACTGTGGAACAGGGACAGACAGAATCTGCAGTCAGAGAGAAACAGCCATTGCCACACCATGCTGCATTAAGTATCTGTGGCTGTAAAAATTATTCAAACATTTGGTGACTTCACACATCATTTCTTATCCACCGGTGCTATGGGTCAGCAGTTCAGGTAGACACACCCTCAGACTCAGAGTTTCTAATGAGGCTGCAGTCAAGGTATTGTCAAGGCTGCAGTCACCTCAAAACTCAGCTGAGGAAAGACCCACTTCCAAGCTCAATCATGTGGTAGCTGGCAGAGTTGAGTTCCTCACAGATAGCTGGACTGAGGGCCTCTGTTCCTTACTGGCTACAGGCTGGAGGCTGCCCTCAGTTTCTTGCCACTTTGGCTTCTCCACAGGACAGCCTCACACATGGCCATTCACTTCATCAGAGCAAGCTGAGAAGATCCAGAGACAGAGCGTGTGTAAACAAGACTAAAGTCATAGTCTCAGAAGTGACTACCTCATCACTTTGCCATCTTCTATTTGTTAGGAGTGAATCTTGAGACCCAGCTCAGTTAAGCGGAGGAAATTACAGCAGGGCACCAATGCCAAGACGTGGGCCTCACCAGGAGCTATCTCTGAAGTCATCCTACCACACATGCCAAAGCAAGGGAGGGAGCAGGAGGAACAAATACCTTGACCTCTCCCTCTTCCCATCCTCCCATCTCCCACGTGTCTTCCATTGGCCAAACTCAACTCGAAGCTAGAGGGCATGGGAGCCCAGGTGATACAGCCCATAGAGGCATCCTTCCAGACCAGTGCAGGGATGAGGCAGAGGGGAGAGAGGTACAACAAGCAGCCCATGAGACAACACACAGATCAGCGAACTGACAGTCATCAAGGAGGTCAGATAATCTAGAAGACAAAACATCACACAGAGCAGCACCTCACCCATATCCATGAGGTCCGCCTCTTTCCTCTAATCTATGCACCCAATTCTTTCCCAGGCTCTGTAATTTGGGGTAACATTTCTCCTGGACCCTGTTATAGAGTAACGAAAATTTTCTATGTAGATGCTTGCCTCTTTAATTACTGAGGCCAGGAGGAAGAGTTGGAAGAAGATAGGACTATGCAGTGACATTTGGAAAGACCCTGATCTGTGACAGTTCTAGTGTTGACGCCAAAGTTCTCATTTCCTCTTAAAAAAGTCTTGTGCAAATAGCATAATTTGCTCCTGTTGACTTTTTTAATGTGCTCATGGAGACTGCTCAGGATCTAGATCTGTTTGGGATCTGCAGGACTTTTCCTTCCTCCGTGTACACACACGTGTACACACGTATGTGCATATACCCAGGGCACTGGTGCCATCAAAACTTTCTCTTATTCCTCAGCCTTAGCCATTCCAGGTAAGGCCACCACCACCTTCAAGGCTCCCAGACCCAGACCCTCAGGCAGGTAGTAATTGCCGAGGCTTTAATGTCCCACCCCATTAATTTTATCTTCCTTTAGCTCCCGAAAAGATTAATACTCTAAACTCTGGCACCCAAAACACCCTTATGTCGAACACGCCCTTCTCACACTCATCTTCAGAGCTACCATGAAGCAGAGAAGCCTCCAGAGTCAGCCCACGTGGGGCTGGGTGAGTGCTGACACCAAGCAAGGGGAAAGTCACAAATTTGACATCCAGCACCTTATTCTCCACCCTTCAACCCCTCAGCTGGCTCTTGCTCCATGGCCCATTCTATTAATATTTAGCATTTAGCACCAGCCTGGACAAAAACCTACCTGGAAAGATGGCACAAGAACCCCACACAACTCCATAGAAGTTCGCTGTCTAAAAAAATGCTTAGCCATATATTATCTCACTTAATCTCCACCACTATGCTGTACACAGGAGCCACAACTCCTAGACAACAAATAAAAATCCTATAACTTTTCAAATCCTAACGTTTTCATATGACAATGCCAGAACTCAAAATCCAGACCTCTAGAGTCCCAGATCAGGAGAGGAAGAAACCCCAAGTCAAAGAGAAGCTTCTCTAGAATAATCTGCTTTTCTGGATTATTCACACCATGGGTCAGCTCCCCACTTGAAGTGAGAACCAAGCTCCAATTTCAGTGAACCACCATCATGTTTTGACCAGGAGAGTCTCTCAGAAATGCGAAGTCCCATTGATTAGGCCTGAAGGCAGAGATTGACAGGCCTATATGAGCCTGGAGGAGTTCTTTTTAGGGGCTGGATAATGTCAAGAACAGAGAACAACTCCAGAGAAGGCACACGCGCCTTCAAACCCATCCTCTCACGGGGAGAAAGTAGCCAGGAACTCAGGCCTCAAGTGTTCTGGGTGTGGCCTCCCAGGGAAAGGGGCTCACTTTGTTTGGGGAAACCTTCAAACCCTGCACTGAGTCCTATGTAGACTGGGACAGAAGGTGAACAACATAATCTCCTGAACCCTCAATCAATCTCCTCCTGGAGAGATAACAAGATTAAGATTTCTTTACCAGAACCCTCAACAGACACATCCCAGAAACTCCCCAAGTGAAATGTGCTCTGCCTACTGTCCCTGAGAGCCCTGGGGTGTGAACCAAGAGGGCAGGTATGGTGGGGAAGGGAGGAGGGAGAAAGAAAAGGGACGGCTGGGAGTTAATAGAGAAAGGCTCCCATCCAGGACCTGCCTGCAAGACTCCCAGGTATCAACCAGCCCAAGCTAGCCCTTGTTGACTTAGCAGGTGACAGTCTGGGGAAGGAGGGGAGGAGGATGTGGAAGTCACACCTCTCCAAGCTTGGTTCCCATTGGCCCTTGATACGCTTAAAAGGGCCCAGCAGTTTCAGCATCCTTATTCCCCGGACCCTCTACAGATTCTGTGGTTATACTCACTCCTCATCCCAAAGAATGAAATTCACCACTCTCCTCTTCTTGGCAGCTGTGGCTGGGGCCCTGGTCTATGCTGGTGAGTATGGCCTTTCCTCTGCACCCCATGAGAATCCTCCCAGGCCAAGGAGGCCCTCACTCCTGCCTTCACCCCTCTCCTCCTCTCTCAGTGCTATTCTGGCTTCCCTGCCTCGGCAAGTGACTCCTCTCCCAGTTCTCCACATGTGGCTTCTGCACCCCACTGGCCAGGGGAACCCAGAACTCTCTGGCCTCTGCCTGCCCTCCCAGCTCATCTCCTCACACACCATTGTTTACCCACTAGGCTCAGCTACACTGGCTTCTTGCGGTTCCTCTGGGCCACTGCATGTAGTTGAGCAGGGTGTCCCCTACACGAGGGTGCCCAGGCAAGGAGTGGTAGAAGCTAAAATCTGGCCCACACTCTACTTGCCAAGCAGTGAGCCTGGCCCCTGACTGTGTCTCTTAAGAGAAAGGGATGCTGTTTTGTTGTTGTTGTTGTTGTTGTTGTTGTTGTTGTTGTTGAGACCAAGTCTCCCTCTGTTGCCCAGGCTGGAGTGCAGTGGTGTGATCTCGGCTCACGGCAACCTCCACCTCCTGGGTTCCAGTGATTCTCCTGCCTCAGCCTCCCGGGTAGCTGGGACTACAGGCGCACATCACCAAGCCCGGCTAATTTTGTATTTTTATTAGAGATGGGGTTTCACCATGTTGGCCAGGTTGGTCTCGAACTCCTGACCTCAGGTGATCTGCCTGCCTCAGCCTCCCAAAGTGTTGGGATTACAGGCGTGAGCCACCGTGCCCGGCTGGGATGCCTTTTTTAATCTACAGAAGCACCACTTGGGCCATGATGATCCTGCTGTTCCTTGAACATCAGGATCTTTCTTCTTATTCTTTCCTCATCTGGAATGCCTTCCCTCTCCCTGGCCCCTTCGCCCAACCAACTCTAATGCCACCTGGCCAATGATTTTTCATCTAGGAAATCTCAGTTTAGATGCAATTCCCCAAAAATGGCTTCCATGCACATGTGGAACAAATCAGATCCCATGTGCCCTTCTCGCACCAGGCTGCACATTCCCTTCCAGCACTGTCACACCAGTCATTAAATAATTCCGTAAAAGGACAGATGTAAGCTCTGTCAGGGCAGGGGACTTGTCTGCCCTCTTCAGCACTGCCCCTCCATCTCTTGGCACAGAGTTTTGCATAAATGTTGTGTTGAAAGAATAAAGGGAATCAGGGCTGGGGTCTCAATCCTGGAAATCACTCAAACATGGCCCCATGACTCCCACATACTGTCCTCCTCCACCACAGAGGAGGTTGAGCCCCTCTGACCATGGCCAGCTCCCTGACAGACACTTCAGGGAAGCCTCCCAAGCCAGGGGCCAGTCAGGAGGAAGGCACTGTTCCAAGAGACATTACATTTCTCAGAGGGGAACCTGTTTCAAAAGCCACAGGAGTTAAACATCAGAGAGGGCCCCACTAGACCCACTGATATGGTGGAAGCGCACGTCCAACCAAAAGGGAAATTCCTCCCCTTCTATCCATGAGCATTCCCAGGAGATAAGCTTTGGGGTTGGGAGGGGAGGGTGGTTCGGGTGGGTGCGGTTCGGTCCTTGCTCTCATCTGGTGTGTTTCCTGCATTGCAGAAGATGCCTCCTCTGACTCGACGGATGCTGATCCTGCCCAGGAAGCTGGGACCTGTGAGTCCTCCCCTCCCACCTGTCCTAGCCCTTGTTGGGAAGGTTTAACAGTTAGGGATGTGAGTGGTGGCTGGGAGAAGAAGCCAGTGGGAGGAGATCTGGATTCTGTGCTTGGTGGTAATGGGGAGGGGCAGGTAAAATAATAAAGAAGGTAGTATGGGTTGAAATGGCACAAAGCTAAGGACAAAAGAGGATGACCCAGAGAGGCAAGGCCAACAGGGAGCATGGGGAAAAGGTTATTGTGAATAAAAGGGAGAGAAACATGAGGTTAAGTGGTAAGGGCAATGTCTCACATGGTGTTTATACCTTCACCTGTAAACACCTCCCATTACTCCCAATTCCTTAGCAAGGTAACCATTATCAGGCCTCTAACCTCATTTTCCAACCCCGTTTTCCATGACTGTCTTTTATGTCGCACTCACATCAGCTAAACTGAACTTGTTTCCGTTCCCCACACCTATCCCACACATGCCTTCGCCTGAACTCTTACTCGCTGCCTGCCCCCAGCGAAGCCCCTTTGGAACATCCTTTCCCACTAACATCCTGCCTTCAAGATCCAGCTTCTCTATGAAGTGCTCCCTGATTCTCACCATCCCCTTGCCCAAATCCTTCCCCAACCTTGTCCACTGCATTCCAAGAGACACACAGCATGCAGAAATGCTATCTCCCTTAAGGGGGCAGGGTTTAAGCCATATCACTTCTGTATCCTGGCACCCAGCACACATTAGGTATCCTGGGGCCCCGCTACCCATTCCAAAAGAAACAAACATTTTGGCTTTGCTAAAATCAATCAATTTGTGCATTCATAGCTAAGCCTAATGAAGAGACCTCAGATCCAGCAGCATCTGCTTCACCCCCAGAGACAACCACAACAGCCCAGGAGACGTCGGCAGCAGTTCAGGGGACAGCCAAGGTTACCTCAAGCAGGCAGGAACTAAACCCCCTGAGTAAGTCTCTGTCTCTATGCCAGATCAACAACCTAGAAAAATCTCTGGCTGCAGGCCCACATCACACTTGCATGCCCAGAGATAAGCCTGGTGAGAAGCAGGTAGACTCAAACACCTGAACACAAAGGCACAAATGGGATTGTGCACTGCACCCACTCACAACATTTCCACAATAGTAGATGCTGCAGCCTGCACTATACATGGTTTCTGTCCTGGCTCACACAACTTCCTATGAAAGAAGTGCTGGAGCCCTCAGCAAAGCTTCTGCACTTCAGGACTTTGTGTAGGGATGATGTCCTGGGTGGAGTGGGGGCCGGGTGGGGGGCGGGGTGCAGGCGGGGCAGTGCAGAGTTCTCTTTAAATGAGGTGAATTTTCTGCTGATGTGATTGTTCTGCTCCAAAATTAGAATCCATAGTGGAGAAAAGTATCTTACTAACAGAACAAGCCTTTGCAAGAGCAGGAAAAGGAATGCCTGGAGGCTTGGCAGGTGGAAAACAATTCATTGAAAGTGAGTGTATCCCAAGGCAAGGCTTTGTGGGAATGAGAATACTCACCACCCACCATCCAGGGGTGGGAGATGGGAGAGAACTTGCCCCCATTTCCACTCTCACATATGAGACTTGGAATTGCCGCAGCCCCTGCTGTTGAAGACCCCTCACTTTGTGCTTTCATATGTTTCCAGTTTCTCATCCAGATTCAAATTGCTGGCTGGGCACGGTGGTTCACGCCTGTGATCCCAGCATTTTGGGAGGCCAAGGCAGGTGGATTGCTTGAGCCCAGGAGTTCAAGACCAGCCTGGGCAACATAACGATATGCCATCTCTACAAAAAAAAATACAAAACGTAGCCAGGCGTGGTGGCGTGTGCCTGTAGTCCCAGCTACTTGGGAGGCTAAGGTGGGAGGATCCCCTGAGCCCAGGAGGCAGAGGTTGCAGTGAGCCAAGATCGTGCCACTACACTCCATCCTGGGTGACAGAGAAAGACCCTGTCTCAAAAGAAAGAACAGATTCAATGTGCCATGTTGTCTGATATTGATTCCCCTGGGGTCTAACCCCCAACCTTCCCACAGTGGAGCTGCTTGTTTCTATTCTTCTTGCCCCCCGCCCCTGCCAAGGTGGGGAAGAGGGTAGGTCCTTCAGGCTCTGGTGATTCTAATCTCAATCCCTCCAACTTCTGTGTAAGCCTCTCCAGAGTCTCAGTAAGTCTGGAAAGCAGAAGATGGAGTTGAGAAGAAATGGAAGGAGTGGAGCTGGCACCTGGGGTCCTAAAAGCCTCATTTGTCTTATCTTTCCTTCTAGATGGAAATGAATTTGCACAAAAATTACTGAAGAAATTCGGTCTGCCAAAACTGTGGGCATGAGAAGCTGAAAAGAATGGGATCACTGGACTTAAAAGCCTTAAATACCCTTGTAGCCCAGAGTTATTAAAACAAAAGCATCCAACTTGCTGTGTGCCTGTGCTCTATGGGATGGGCCCTGGAGGAAGGGCAGGGAGAAGAGCCCTCCCTGGACCAACACAAGGCATACGATGTCCTGACCCAGGCCCTTGGCCAGTCACAGCTTGCCTAGAAGGCGGAGCCTCTAACAAGCCCTTTTATTCACTTTGAGCCACATCCACATGTGCTGAGCCTCCTTTGAGTCCAAATGCCACTCCAGTTGTCGTCCACCTCTTATTCTTCACACATTACTCCTAGTGACATTTGAGCATTTCCAAAAATTAAATCAACTTCCAAAGGACCAGGATTTATCATCCTGAAAATAATCAAAGCCTGGGCCATTGATACTAAAGCCACTTTCTGGTACCTTTATCGGAAATTCATCTCTCCTGCCTTCTATTCGTACATTCTACACTGGGCCAAAGTGGCCGGCAATGGCTAATCAGATCAGACAGTAAAGTAATGAGCCACTACAGTGACAACTGGCACTTGACTGAAAAGACCAATCGAATCCATTAAAGTTATTCTTGTGATGCGGTGCAGAGAAGCCACTTTTGACTGTGTTTTAGATGTGTGAATTATCTTCCCCAAAGGACTAAATTCTTTCAAAGGGGTCTCGGTCACCTCTTCCTCCTCCTGAAACTTTGTTTTCCTCCCCCACAGTTCAGGGCTGTGTCTTGCACACAGATGAACCAGGGAAAGTCACTCATAACTTCAGGGGGCAAAGAAAGCAGTCAGATCTCCTTGCCAGACTCCTTCCCAGGCCGGGCACATGGTCTTCTGCTCTTTAACATGCCCGGAGTCATTGATTCTAGACTGTTCTTCTCGCCCCATCTTAGTTTATTTTCTGTTGCTTATAACGAAATATCTAAAACTGGATAATTTACAGGAAGCAAAATGTACCTCTTACAGTTCTAGAACTGGGAAGTCCAAGGTCAAGGAGGCACATCTGGCAAGTGCTTTCTTGCTGGCAGGAAATCTCTGCAGGATCCCAAGCTAGAACAGAGAATCACATAGTGAGGTGGCTGTCCTTGCTAGCTCAGGTCTCTCTTCCTCTTCTTAGAAAGCCTCCAGTCTCACTCCTGTGGCACACCATTAATCCATTAACTCATTAATTCAACTATCCATAGATGATTAATCTATTCATAAGGGCAAAGACCTCATGATCCAATCATTTCTTTTTCTTTTTCTTTTTTTTTTTTTTTTTTTTTTTTAAAGACAGAATCTTGTTCTGTTGCCCAGGCTGGAGTGCAGTGGCTCAATCTCGGCTCACTGCAACCTCTGCTTCCCAGGTTCAAGTAATTCTCCTGCCTCAGCCTCCCAAGTAGCTGGGATTACAGATGCCCACCAGCACACGTGGCTAATTTTTTGTATTTTTAGTAGAGACAGAGTTTCGCCATGTTGGCCAGGATGGTCTCAAACTCCTGACCTCATGTGATCCACCCGCCTTGGCCTCCCAAAGTGCTGAGATTACAGGCGTGAGCCACTGCGCCCAGCATGACCCAATCATTTCTTAATAGCCCTGCCTTTCAATATCGTTACTTTAGGGATTAAGTTTCAATGTAAGTTTTGGAGGGAACAAACACTCAAACTATACCATTCTACTCCAGGCCCTCTGAAACTCATGTCCTTCTCAAATATAAATACATTCATTCCAACTCCAAAGCCCCAAAATCTTAGCTCATTCCAGCACCAACTCAAAAGTCCAAAGTCCACAGTATCATCTGTGAGCCTGTGAAATACAAACAAATTATTTACTTCTAAGATACAATTGTGGTAGAAGCATAAAACAGACATTCCCATTCCAAAGTGGAGAAATCGACAAAAAGAAAGGAGTAACAGGTCTCAAGCAAATCTGAAACCCAGCAGGGCAGACATTAAATCTTAAAGCTGAAGAATAAATCTCTTTTGACTCTGTGTGTGGCCTCCCATCCACACTTGGGTGTGGGTTAGGCCCCCAAGGCTTCATGCAGCCTCACACTTTATGGCTTTTCTGGGTGCAGCCCATGTGACTGCTCCTAGGTATTACAGTCTGGTGCCTGAAGCTTTCCCAGGTGGATGTTGCATGCTGCCGGTGACTGCACACTTCTGGGGTCCCAGTAGTTGTCCCACTCCCACAGCTCCACTAGGCATTACCCTAATGGAGACTCTCTATTCTGGCATCACTTCCATGGCTCCACTAGATGACGACTCTTTGCAGTGGCTCTGCCCCTGTGACAAATCTTTGCCTGGGCTCCTAGGCTTTTGATGACATCCTTTGAAATCTTGGTGGAGGCTGCCAAGCTGCCACAGCTTTTGCTGTCTGCAAGCCTGCAGAGTCAGCACCACCTGGACACTGTCAAGGTTTATGGCTTGTACCTTCCAAAACTGTAGCACAAGCTACAATTGGGGTCACTTGAGCCTTGGCTAGGGCAGCCATGAAGCTCTGCACTGGGATTCCAGGGGCAGAGTCCCAAGGCACTATTCTGCCCTCCTAAACTTCTGGGCCTATAACAGGAGGGGTACCCTCAAAGATCTCTGAAATGCATTTCTGGTCTTTCTTCATTGTCTTGAGGAATAGCATCTGGCTCCATTCTACCTATGCTAATCTTTTTAGCTGCATCCTTGGTTTCCTCTTCTGAATGCACTTTTTCACTCTTCATGTGGCCAGACTGACAGTTTTCTGACTCTTTCCACTTTACTTCCCTTTTAATGTAAATTTTCTTTATCTTCATAATTGTCTTTGAATTATTCCTTTGCTCCCAAATCTCAGCACAAGTGGCCAAAAGTAACCATGCACCTCCTTCTATATGTTGCTTAGAAATTTATTCTGCAGATACTCTAGTGTGTCACTCTCAAGTTTGGCCTTCCACAAAGCCCTGAAATGTAGACACAGTTCAGCCAAGTTCTTTGTAAATTTATAACAAGGATGGTCTTTACTCCAGTTTCCAATACCTTATTCCTCAGTTTCATCTGAAATATCATCAGAATGGCCTTACTCTTCATATTTCAACTAGCATTCTGGTCACAATCGCTTAACTAATCTCTAAGGAGTTCCAAACTTTCCATAGAACTGAGGTTCTCCAGGAGTTCTCCACCCCTAGCAAACTTCTGCCTGGACATCCAGGTGTTTTCATATATCCTCTGAAATCTAGGTGGAGGTTCCCAAACCCCAATTCTTGACTTCTATGCACTCACAGGCTCAACACCACATGCAAGTTGCCAAGGTTTGGGGCTTGCACCCTCTGGAGCCACAGCCCAAGCTCTATGTTGGCCCCTTTCAGCCATGGCTAGAGTGGCTGGAACACAGGACACCAAGTCTCTAGACTGCACAGAGCACAGGTACCCTGGGCCTAGCCCATGAAACCACTTTTTCCTCCAAGGCCTCCAGGCCTGTGATGGGAGGGGCTGCTGTGGAAATCTCTGGCATGTCCTGGAGACATTTTCCCCATCATCTTGTGGATTAATATTTGGCTCCTCGTTACTTATGCAAATTTCTGCAACTGGCTTGAATTTCTCCTCGGAAAATGGGATTTTATTTTCTATTGCATTGTCAGGCTGCAAATTTTCTGAACATTTATGGTCTGCTTCCCTTATAAAATGGAATGCCTTTAACAGCACCCAAGTCACATCTTGAATGCTTTGCTGCCTAGAAACCTCTTCCACCAAAAACCCTAAATCATCCCTCTCAAGTTCAAAGTTCCACAAATCTCTAGGGCAGGGGCAAAATGCTGCCAGTCTCTTCGCTAACACATAACAAGAGTCACCTTTGCTCCAGTTCCCAAAACAAGTTACTCATTTCCATCAGAGACCACCTCAGCCTGGACTTTGTTGTCCATGTTGCTATCAGCATTTTGGGCAAAGCCATTCAACAAGTCTCTAGGAAGCTCCAGAATTTCCCACATTTCCCTATCTTCTTCTGAGACCTCCAAACTGTTCCAGCCTCTGCCTGCTACCCAGTTCCAAAGTCACTTTCACATTTTCATGTATCTTTTCAGTAACACCCCACTCTACTGTATTAATCAGTACTAATACAGTACCAGTTTACTGTATTAGTCCATTTTCATGCTGCTAATAAAGACATAGCTGAGACTGGGCAATTTACGAAAGAAAAAGGTTTATTGAACTTACAGTTCCACGTGGCTGGGGAGGCCTCACAATTATGGTGGAAGGTAAAAGGCACATCTGACATGGCAGCAGACAAGAGAAGGGAGCTTGTGCAGGGAAACTCCCCTTTATAAAACCATCAGATCTCATGAGATGTATTCACTATCACCAGAACAGCATGAGAAAGGCCTGCTCCCATGATTCAATTACCTCCCACCAGGTACCTCCCACAACACATGGGAATTCAAGATGAAATTTAGGTGGGGACACAGCCAAGCCATATCAGCAGGGATTTCTGTCTGTTCTTTTACTTCTATATCCTCAGTGCCTAGAATAGTGCCTGAAACACAAAAGGCACCCAAGAAACATTGGCTCAATGTTGAATGAGTTCACCCACTTCCACCCACCTCCTAATTTATATCCTGTGAGATGAATGTCTCCATCATCTATGTTCTTAGAATATGCATTTGCATGTCTGCTGTAATACGTCTTCACCAGAGAGGCAACACTTCAGAAGTCGGTCCAGGTGGAATTCGTCTCAGAACGCCTAACACTCGGCAGGTAACAGGTGGTTAACAAGTTGTCTGTGTACTGAATGAAGGAGAAGCAGGCTCTGGGATTACCTGCCTACAGCACCCCCAAAATTCCCCAGATTCATCCTCCTCAAAGGAGAGAAAACTTCAACCATTTCACATTCACAAATTGGTGACTTTGGACACACAGTGATTATGACAAAGACTGATGAAGGGGCAAGAGCTAACCCCAGATACTGTTTCAGAGAAAACCCCAGTCCTGATGAAATCCCTTCCAACCCCAGAGACAATGGCAGCAATCCAAAGGGCCTATGAGGTACAAGGAGCAGATAATTCCCCCTTGTGGCACAGGCTTGTGGACTATGTGACTTTATTGTGAGGAGAAGG